GGTACAATCCGGTTCGGACCTCCAACTCCCTTCCTCTCTCCCTTGCAACAAGACATCTCTGCTAGCAAAGACAACCGACCTTCCTCCTCGCTAGTGCGCTTCACTGCTTAGGTGTGTCACATGACTGTCACATGACCTGCGAATTCCTGCAGTTCTGTCCTTTTCACTTTTGTGTTATTCTTTAGTTTGCTTTGTTGATAAAATTGTATACTTGAAGCTCTAGGAGCTTGATCGTTGAGAGTAAGTTCTGTACATATAATTTGAGCTGTTGAATTGTGACATGGCAAAGCTGATGTGAATGATAGTGTATGCATATGTTTTACAAGGTTTGTATGGGTTTGTTTCCTGAGTGCAATGAAATCGGTCACCTGTATAGTTTGCTCTTGTGTGTCAGTGTAACATTAATCAGTCATGATTAACACATAACAATCCTCATAGTGTTGTTTGGGTTTGTCTAATGAGAAAAGAAGCTGATTTTACTTAAAGTCAATATGCACATGGTGGAGAGAAATAAGTGTGTGTAGATAAGATGAAGTTGATCAATTAAGTCAATAGCCCTATAGCAACATACCTTTCTGCCAGTAGGTAACACCCAAGGGTGACCTGTGATATGATCATACATGTCCACAAGGGTGACCTGTGATATGATCATACAGGTCCACAAGGGTGACCTGTAGTTGCTCATACAGGTCCACAAGGATGACCTCTAGTTGCTCATACAGGTCCAGAAGGATGACCTCTAGTTGCTCATACAGGTCCACAAGGGTGACCTCTAGTTGCTCATACAGGTCCACAAGGATGACCTGTAATTGCTCATACAAGTCCACAAAGATGACCTGTTCATACAGGTCCTACAGTTGTTTAGACAGGTCCTCAGTAATTGTTAGTTGGGAAATAAAGTAGATAAGGATGAATTCATCATTTATCTCATATGTCTAATAGCAACAAATTTCCTTCTATCTGTTGCTAATACAGGTCCACACTGGTGACTTGTAGTTGTTTATGCAGGTCCTATAATTGTACATACAGATGTTCATACATATACACAGTGGTGACCTGTAATTTGTAAAGATGACCTGTAGATTTTCATATATACAGGTCCTGTACCTCTGCTTGTTCATACAGGTCCTTGAGAAGAGTGTCAGAAGTTGTTAATACTTGTCCACAAAGTGAGACCTGTAGTTGATGTCCTCAATGGTGTCCTGGAGTTGTTCATGGTGTCCTAATGATCACCTGCAGGTGTCCACACAGGCAAACCTCTAGTTGCTCATACAGGTCAACAAGGGTGACCTCTAGTTGCTCATACAGGTCCACAAGGATGACCTCTAGTTGCTCATACAGGTCCACAATGGTTACCTCTAGTTGCTCATACAGGTCCACAAGGGTGACTTCTTGTTGCTCATACAGGTCCACAAGGATGACCTGTAATTGCTCATACAGGTCCACAAAGATGACCTGTTCATACAGGTCCTACAGTTGTTTAGACAGGTCCTCAGTAATTGTTAATTGGGAAATAAAGTAGATAAGGATGAATTCATCATTTATCTCATATGTCTAATAGCAACAATTTCCTTCTATCTGTAAATAACACCGGTCCCACTGGTGACTTGTAGTTGTTTATGCAGGTCCTATAATTGTACATACAGATGTTCATACATATACACAGTGGTGACCTGTAATTTGTAAAGATGACCTGTAGATTTTCATATATGCAGGTCCTGTACCTCTGCTTGTTCATACAGGTCCTTGAGAAGAGTGTCCAGAAGTTGTTAATACTTGTCCTAAAGTGAGACCTGTAGTTGATGTCCTCAATGGTGTCCTGGAGTTGTTCATGGTGTCCTAATGATCACCTGCAGGTGTTCCCACAGGAAAACTGTCATTGTTCATGCAGGTCAACAAAGGTGACCTATAGTTGTTTATACAGGTCCACAGTGGCAGCCTGTATGTGTTTATTCAGGTCCCCAGTAGCAACCCCTGGTTGTTCATACAGGTCCTCAAGGGCGACTTGCAGTTGCTCATACAGGTCCCCAGTAGCAACCTCTGGTTGTTCATACAGGTCCTCAAGGGCGACTTGCAGTTGCTCATACAGGTCCCCAGTAGCAACCTCTGGTTGTTCATACAGGTCCTCAAGGGCGACTTGCAGTTGCTCATACAGGTCCCCAGTAGCAACCTCTGGTTGTTCATACAGGTCCTCAAGGGCTGACTTGCAGTTGCTCATACAGGTCCCCAGTAGCAACCTCTGGTTGTTCATACAAGTCCTCAAGGGCGACTTGCAGTTGCTCATACAGGTCCCCAGTAGCAACCTCTGGTTGTTCATACAGGTCCTCAAGGGTGACTTGCAGTTGCTCATACAGGTCCCCAGTAGCAACCTCTGGTTGTTCATACAGGTCCTCAAGGGCGACTTGCAGTTGCTCATACAGGTCCCCAGTAGCAACCTCTGGTTGTTCATACAGGTCCTCAAGGGTGACCTATAGTTGCTCATACAGGTCCCCAGTAGCAACCTCTGGTTGTTCATACAGGTCCTCAAGGGCGACTTGCAGTTGCTCATACAGGTCCCCAGTAGCAACCTCTGGTTGTTCATACAGGTCCTCAAGGGCGACTTGCAGTTGCTCATACAGGTCCCCAGTAGCAACCTCTGGTTGTTCATACAGGTCCTCAAGGGCGACTTGCAGTTGCTCATACAGGTCCCCAGTAGCAACCTCTGGTTGTTCATACAGGTCCTCAAGGGCGACTTGCAGTTGCTCATACAGGTCCCCAGTAGCAACCTCTGGTTGTTCATACAGGTCCTCAAGGGCGACTTGCAGTTGCTCATACAGGTCACCAGTAGCAACCTCTGGTTGTTCATACAGGTCCTCAAGGGCGACTTGCAGTTGCTCATACAGGTCCCCAGTAGCAACCTCTGGTTGTTCATACAAGTCCTAAAGAGTGACCTATAGTTGTTTATACAGGTCACCAGTAGCAACCTCTAGTTGCTCATACAAGTCCTCAAGGGCGACTTGCAGTTGCTCATACAGGTCCACAAGGGTGACCTGTGATATGATCATACAGGTCCACAAGGGTGACCTGTAGTTGCTCATACAGGTCCACAAGGATGACCTGTAGTTGCTCATACAGGTCCACAAGGATGACCTCTAGTTGCTCATACAGGTCCTCAAGGGTGACCTCTAGTTGCTCATACAGTTCCACAAGGGTGACCTCTAGTTGCTCATACAGGTCTACAATTGTGACCTCTAGCTGCTCATACAGGTCCTCAAGGGTGACCTCTAGTTGCTCATACAGGTCTACAATGGTGACCCATAGTTGCTCATACAGGTCCTCAAGGGTGACCTCTAGTTGCTCATACAGGTCCACAAGGGTGACCTCTAGTTGCTCATACAGGTCCTCAAGGGTGACCTCTAGTTGCTCATACAGGTCCACAAGGGTGACCTCTAGTTGCTCATACAGGTCTACAATGGTGACCTCTAGTTGCTCATACAGGTCTACAATGGTGACCTCTAGTTGCTCATACAGGTCTACAATGGTGACCTCTAGTTGCTCATACAGGTCCTCAAGGGTGACCTCTAGTTGCTCATACAGGTCCACAAGGGTGACCTCTAGTTGCTCATACAGGTCTACAATGGTGACCTCTAGTTGCTTATACAGGTCACCAATGGTGACCTCTAGTTGCTCATACAGGTCCTCAAGGGTGACCTCTAGTTGCTCATACAGGTCCTCAAGGGTGACCTCTAGTTGCTCATACAAGTCCTCAAGGGTGACCTCTAGTTGCTCATACAGGTCTACAATGGTGACCTCTAGTTGCTCATACAGGTCTACAATGGTGACCTCTAGTTGCTCATACAGGTCCTCAAGGGTGACCTCTAGTTGCTCATACAGGTCCACAAGGGTGACCTCTAGTTGCTCATACAGGTCCTCAAGGGTGACCTCTAGTTGCTCATACAGGTCCACAATGGTGACCTCTAGTTGCTCATACAGGTCACAATGGTGACCTCTAGTTGCTCATACAGGTCCTACAAGGGTGACCTCTAGTTGCTCATACAGGTCCACAAGGGTGACCTCTAGTTGCTCATACAGGTCCACAATGGTGACCTCTAGTTGCTCATACAGGTCCTCAAGGGTGACCTCTAGTTGCTCATACAGGTCCACAATGGTGACCTCTAGTTGCTCATACAGGTCCTCAAGGCCGACTTGCAGTTGCTCATACAAGTCCTTAGTGGCAATCTGTAGTTCTTCATCCAGGTGTTCACTGGTTCCCAGGAGTTATTCATGGACGTGGGTGACACATAATTGTTCAGACGGGTCTTCAAGGTTGGGATTTAGTTCCCAATATGGGGATTTTGCATGTTGAAAAAAATCCACCCTAAGTGATTTGATCTGAAAATGTTGAAATACACTACCTAAATATTTCATAGGTTCATAGATGATGCCATTCAGAATTGTTTCAAAGTAATCCAAATACCTTCAGTTGTATTTATATTATTTGTAAATTTAATTTAAGATCAACTTTGTTTTATCAAACTTTACACAATAAAATTATTTCGGTCCATCTCATGCTTAGGAAAACAATTTAAGACAATTCTGCACTGTAACATAGATTCTTGATCCAAAGTTAAGTTTGACTGTATGACTTAAAGACACAGCTGAAGTAACGCTTCCATACAAACTAAGTTCCAGACAACTCAACAGCTGACATAACATGTCTGTGTCATCCATGTTTTGAGTAGAATTGGTCTTCACCAACCCATGCTTGTCATAAAAGACGACTAACGGGATCAGGTGGTCAGACTCGCTGACTTGGTTGGCACATGTCATCATATTACAATTGCACAGATTGATGCTCATGCTGTTGGTCACTGGATTGTCTGATCCAGACTAAATTATTTACAGACTGATGCCATATAGCTGGAATATTGCTGAGTGCAACTGCAAATTCTACCCAAAACCAACCACATTTTGGGCACCTCAGCAGGGGGAGTAACTCTTGTACATCATCCATGTTTCAGGAGCCAGGAACAACATCCCCGCCTCCCAGTCCCTTCATGAAGCCTCGCTCTCGGTTCCAGCAGGGTCTGACCCAGGTTCAATCCCAGCACCACCAGTACCTTCCGCCCATGCCGCGACCACCGTTATTCTCTGAGTGGTAGCTCAAAGTCACCACTCATCAACAGATAACTCCCATTAATCTGGACACTGTTAATCCAGAATCTTGTTTACAGACAATGACAGAAATCGACTTATGTCAGAAAATTAATACTTGGTCTTCTTCATTTTATTTATTGATTTGCAAACAACTTGGAATAAAATTCAATGTATGTGGTAAAAAATAACTTGTAGTAGTTACTGGATTAACAGGGTTTTGCAGTGGACAGTTTGATAATGCAGTCACTTATCCAAAGGTGACTAAATTGTATTTTAAGCACTTTTAAATTTAATGCATACATTGTTTCAGTTAATTTAATTAAAATCAAAGTTCAATGACCAAAATGACTTTGAAGGAGAATTGACAATGTTTGAAGTGCAACATTATTTACCACCAAAGTTTATGCAGGAATGTATTTTTGTATCTGGGTTACAACCAAAGAACCTGTGAAATCATGAAGATGAAGATAATTTACTCATTAAATAAATATTTATTTTTGTTTATATATCAACTATGCACAGATATGCACAATTCTGAAAGAAAACTTTATCATCCACAAATGTTTATGTATTTTTCTATTACTGTACACAATGCTTCAGCAGAGTTACAAATTATGATATTTGTATGATGTATGTGTAGTTTATGTTGTTAGAAGACTGAAATGTAAGGGACTATTTATAATTTATGGCTAGGGGGGATGATGATGATTTTAAGGAGGGGTCACCTATTTTGTTCTGGGGAGCTGAGGGGTCAGCAATTTTGTACACCTGTACTAGGGGGGTCAGCAATTTTGTACATAAAAATATGTTTAAAATTATGCTTAGAAATTATGGGAAGGGGAGGAGGGTCATTGATTTTGTACATGACATGTGGGGGGGTCCCACTTGTTTTGCATATAAATTTTAGGGGTTATTCACATTGTACATGCTTCTCCATAAAAATGATCATCACCCCCCCTAGCCATACATTATGAACGGTCCCTAATAATGCTTTTAAGTTTAGGCCATAGCAAGTTGATTATTTGTTCATCAGGGTGTTAGGAGTGAGATGGGTTTAGTATAACTGTATTACATTACAATCACAGCCTGCCAGCTTATCGTGGAAGTAAACCTTAAGGTAAAACACTTCTCAGACGATAAACTCTTTATGGAAAGCCATGGTGTTGACAGTACGGGAGCATTATTGGGGAAAACAGATTTGAACAGTTAGTCATAAGTTTCTGGAATTCCCAAAATAAACTGGCTACCTGTGTACCTTAAGAGGCAAATGACTGGTTATGATATTGAAAAGAAGTACATGTACTTTTTTTTAAAGTGAAAATACAGAGCCATTTAAAAGAAATACCATTATTTCTCTGATTTCCTCTTGGAAGTACATTGCATATTACTGGTATACTAATTGCCCAAGAGTGTATTGAAAAGTGTACTAGCACTGAAAACATGTTCACAGGGTTTAGATATTTCGGGGGTTGGGGAGTTAAGTATAACAGGATGTTTTTAATATTTATTATAAAATAATGTCCAAAATATACCAAATTGAATATTTTTTAGAAAAAGACTTCAGGTTATGATGAACATTTAATCAGATTTGTTTTAGATGAAACTTGTTTGCTTCATGAATATTGATTTGGTAGGCAATCAGTGATCAGTAGAATATCACATTTTTTTTTCTCTGCAAATGTTTCTGTGGTTTACACTGAATTGTCAAAATATTCCAGACCAAATTAATACTTGTTTACAGATCTTTGGCCTTAATAAAAGTAAAAACCACAATAATTCCAAATAGAATCTTACAGTTTACAGATCTTTGGCCCCAATATCCGAAATCAGGTTAAAATAAAAGTAAACACCACATTAATTCATTAACCTCACTAAAGTATCGCTGCATTGAACACCTTTGTTTTGTCTAAAAAATACATCCCCATTTTGGGGAAGTTGTTTTCGGGAAAATGCTGTCTGTTTCATTCAGATGAAATATTCACTGGAACAAACAAGAAAATGCCATATCAGATGTCAATGTAACTAAAGTTTGACAAAAACTCATTGGATTCAGACAAAACCTCATGATTATGTTTTGGAAAAAATGACTATAAATGGACAGGTTTATCTGATCTGTCAAACAAGCATTGAAATTGGTCTGGCCTGAAAGTAAACTTTGTGTTACATCCACTTTTATCTCTTTTTTAATTATTTCAATCTTTAGTTTGATAGGGATAATCAGATGCCATTATTTGTTAATATACACTCGACATATTATGAACATCATTGCTTTGTATCGTGGAAAGATAAAAAAAATATCCCTATGGAATGTGGAGTAGTATAGAAGGGATCTTTATTGTTAAGGACTTCATGGATGATGATGCTGATGATGATTTCACAGTTGTGACCATCAAGCTTTCTATATTTTCAATAAAAGAGCACCAAGGGTTCTGGTCTAACCAAATAATTTCAGATGTTTGACACAATATTCAGAATGACTCTCTCATCTTTAAGCATAGTTGATATTACTCTAGCTTACGTCATCTCATACCTTTGCTTGTGATATTGTATACATCCTTGTTATTAATGTTGTTGACTGTGATACTATAATTCCATACCACTGCTGTGATAGGCCAAGTGTACATATCAACTTAGAGGAAACAGACCAAATACACTTCCAATATACACTGAATCATGCCTGATGCTCTGTAGTAACCTTGCAATGATTGACCTTGAAACTGAACTATTTTGCCTGCTAGATAATTTTCAAACATTTTGTAGTTATTTTTTTTAATTTTACACAGACACAAATAATCTATGATGTAGATGAAAGGCTTTGATAAAAGTGGGGATGCACGCAATGCCAAGCCTCAAGTGAACAAAAGCATGTAATTGGTTGATGTGTCTGATAAAAGGGGTTCTTCTCTCATCAGCTCAGGCGGATGAGGCATTTCGAAAAGGGGGATGCTCAGTATACCAAAGATTCAGTGTGAAGAACACCATACGATTGTTCACCCCCTTCCCCATTCATTCTCCCCCTCCTTCACACTCATCCTCCCAGCATACGCCAGTGCAGCTTCTTGTAGGGTTAGAAATCTGTTACAAAATACAAGAGGACTTGTTTGGGCTGTATATAATACTGTAACACAACGAAAACAAATTATCAGTTTGGACTCAAACTTACAAGAAAACGATATTAGCCATCAATATTTACTCACATGACCATGAATGATGACTGGATGACGAATGACAATGTTGTGTTTGATTATCTAATGCCTACATTAACAGAACGACCATTTGTTTTTGTGGCGATGAATACGAAAATTTGAATTATCATTTTCAGAGTGTTTCGGTATATATTATCCTTCTGGAACATCATTGGGAATAATTAATTTTCTAACAAGTGATAAATATATTTTAAAGAGAAATTTCAGAGTTCAAGATCTTTAGTATTTGTATAATAAGGTTGTGAATTAGAGGACTATTGGAGTTACATAGAATGTATCGATAGATTGCCAATGCTTTTATGTTATGTGATATTTTGTATTTAAACAATAGATGTTAACAGAAGCAATCTGACATTCCGTCCATTACTAGAAATAAATATTTCTTATACTACACCTTGTGTTTCATTATCATTTGTTTGGGGTTTACAATAAGTCTACTGATGTCACTTTTTTGTCATGTCCCTCTTCCCACTTTGGCCAAAAAAATATGTAATCCAACAATAAAAAATAATGACCTGGTAGTACAAAATGCCTAATGCTGATTATGACCTTTACCTTGACAAATGACGTGTCAGCGAGTCTGAAAACCCGATCCCGTTAGTCGATTCATACGACAAGCATGAGTTACTGAAGACCAATTCTAACCCAGATTTTCACGGGTCCAAAAATTTATGAATAATATTTTAATGCATGATAGCTAGACGTTGTTCATGTCAACATTAGCATGAATGACACCTGTAAATACCTGTCAAGAAATGCCTTTTAAGTATTTCTGAATACACAGGTGAGGAAAATATGTCAAAGGCTGATTCCAGAAAGTTAGGTAAGAGTTCCTCCCGTTCCCCCATCCCAAATAATATTTATAATTCAATATATACAAAAATTATTAACAAAACTTAACACAATTACTAAAGAACTCACAAAAATGACTAAAAGTCCAAAATTTAAATTAGGGTTACTAGGATTAGAGTTGGGGGAACGGAAGGAACTCTTTCCAAAATTAAATTTCATGAATCAGTGAATTTTTTAAGTGACCTGATAGATAAATTCCACAATCATGAATCTCTGTTTAGTTTCTTTATTACTATGAATACAATTCATAATGCATAATTATCAACTAACAAAACAACAGTATGGGATAACAATCATATGACCAGTGGTGTTATCACTCCTATAAGTGATATCTGGCACTGTATATCACTGTAGCAGTCCTCTACAACACTGAGGCAGTGTTACACAGACTATAACCATGTTACTTTCTACATTATTTGATTGATACTCCACCAGTTCCAATTAAAAACCCACAAATACAATTAGCAGCTTTTCTGAACATAATTTGGGCTTCTAATTTCCTCAGGTCAGTTTTGTTTTTAGACAAGATAAAAAATTGCTTAAATTTAATAAACTCTGATGTTTAACTCCAATACAAGAACTCTCTGAGCTGAGATCTGAGGACGCCCTCAGATGAATCTGCCCAAACTAAATATATGGTCAGTGTATTCCTGAATCAACCAGCTGTCATTTTTTGCCACTTGATTTCAGAAATTTAAATTTGTGCAAATAAAAACTTACAAAGAAAACATATTTCTTCAATTAAATGCTCTGGTGCTCAGAAATGAGATGATTAAATAACCACTACAACATAATGGTGTCATTATACACTCAACTTTCAGAACTTGTCCTCTTAGTTCATTTTCAAGATTTAGAAATCAGAAATATTGGTTTGAGAGCTTCACTCACTCGTTCCCGAGAATTTGGAAATCTCAACACTTAACAACCAATTAGAAAGTTCACTTGACCTTCCATTGAGTGGCGGGGCAGTGGGTTAGCCTAGTGGTTAAAGTTTTCGCTCGTCACGCCGAAGACCTGGGTTCGATTCCCCACATGGGTACAATGTATGAAACCTATTTCTGGTGTCCCCTGCTGTGATATTGCTGGAATATTGCTAAAACCATTCTCGCTCACTTGCTCCATTGAGTGGCCTGAAATAAATGTTCTGTTCTGAGGCATCCCCAGACTCTGATGCAGAGAGGTATCGTATCAGTGTATGTATTACTCAGATTGGTGAATTTCTCACTTTAGGAATTAACTTGTACTTCATTTTCAAAGAGCAAAACAATGTAAAATATATTTACAAAAAAAAAGGCATTTGAATGATAATATCACATTGAAGAATTGTTATTGGCCCCAATTTTCATTTTAAGAAATATTCATTTGTCTTTGAGATCATCTAACGAAGAGTCCCAAGATGCAACAGATATATTGCAGCATGTTTAAGTGTATATTGTGATGGAAGTACACATGTTCAACTCATGCATGATTCTTTCACCACTGCTAGACACACGATTGTAAATCAGTATCAAATGGTATGATTAATCCTTTCACAACACCTATATCACAATGTCTAAACATGTAAGTGCTCCCTAAACGCAAAAAAATGTGTTTGACATAAAAAAAAAATAAGTTAAAAAACACACAAATATGAACCAAATCTATGAAATGATTTACAAGTTACATGACACATTATAAAACAAAATGGAATCTAGACACTCTTGATAATGATCATGGGAATGTAGCTAAATTCAAACAAAATGTATTATATATGTGAGAGGCAAAACTTTGATAATCTCTGAGACTGTTTTGTGAAACAAACTCCACAAGTGACAGACAAAAAATAATTTTGCCTCAGATATTACCCACAAAACAATTGTGAAAAAAATGTCTGGTGAATATTACAAGTTTGATTGGCTCCGGCTTTTAGAGAAATTAATTATATATCTTGAAGCAATAATGTTCAAAACATCATAAATCTAACAAAGTTATCCATCTCACATATCTCACATACACGCCATCATTTATCTCCTAACCCCAATCTGCACCCAACTCCCCAAACCCACCCAAAAGCCTTTCAACTTTAAGCCCCAGTGGGGAAAACATCCATGCATTTTGAATTCCAGTTTCTACACCACATTCTTGTGCAATCAACTCATGAGCAACATCAGTTTGTACAATATTAGGAATGATTAGAATCAAATTATGGCATTATATATTCATAGACAATATTTAAATACTTCAAAACTAAGTAAAGCTACATAGAACTATACATCTTAAAAGGTGACAATTAACAAAACAAGAGCCAGAATAATGTTTGCCACAATCTGGACTCAAGGGTAGCTTAGTGGTTAAACCATTTGCTTGTCATGCTGAAGACCTGGCTTTGATTTCCCACATGAGTATAACGTATGAAACCCTTTTCTGGTGTCCTACACCACAATATTGCTGAAATATCTCTAACAACAACACAAAACTATACTCCTTCGCCTGAAGGAAATCAAGTCTGGACCAGGCAAACCAGAGTTCACACAGTCAGCCACTGTACCCGTTAAACCATTTGTCAGCTCTTGCCTTGCTTGTTTGTCTGTTAAAGCCACCCTCAGCAATATTCCTGCTACATGACAGCAGGCCTCAAAATCTTCCCTGGGGATCCACAGCCTCAAACACATCTCAAAATAGCTTGTTTCAAAACAAGCCAACATTAACAAGGCAACTTGGAGGTGGGGGAGCCTGGTGGATAAACCATTGGTTAAAGCCAAAGACCTGGGTTCAATTCCCCACATGGGTACATTGTGTAAAGCTCATTCCTGGGGCAGTATTCATAAAAGATGTTAAGTCTGGAATAAGACTTCAGTTTCTTTACTAATACCACCCCAGGTGTCCCTGCTGTGACATTGCTGGAATATAAATTGCTAAAAGCAGCAAAAAAAACAAACCCATTCACTTGAATAATGCAGCAATGATTGTTAACATGTTCAACCTTACACTGGAAGCCATACAGTCTTAGCATCATGTCCTGCCAATCAATACCATTACTCTCTTCAGCTGCGAGGCCAATGTACATGACAAACAAAGTGTTAACGTAAAAATCGTTCTGTAACACAATATCAAACTTGTCACAATTCTAACTTAATAGGATACAATATTATTTCTTGATTATGATGACAAACACTCTCAAACAGATAGGGGCAAAAAAAAAAAAGGAAATCTGTTGTTGACAAAATTCCACCCCTGTGCCTCCAAACTTTTCTTCCAGAATTGTTCTCCCAAACTGGCAAGGGCAGGGTACTCTAACCATCAACAAGTAACTCTTATCACACAAGACAGGTGGTGTTTGGATCATTCCAACATTTATATACAATACTACATAACACAATCACCAGTTCCTTCTTTAGGCCAGTCAACTATCACGGTATGCAAGGTAAAAGTGCATTCACACGGTGCCATCTATAGTAACATTATTATCGTACCATACAACACAGTCGCAACATAAGAACACTCAAATCACAACGATTTGAAATCGCATACAACTAGTCGCAGCTAAGTTGTAAGACATAGGACTTGTCCTAATTCCTACTACAAGTTGCAAGGTCTTGACCAATCAAATTGCTTAGATCCATATCCACCTCAGAGTGACGTCCCATTGTTTATTTTGACATCATGTCGGAGACACGACTGAAACAAATCTTCACTCAATGAATTCATGTTGACGACTCATATGTGAGAATCTCATGAGATACGAGTTGTATGCGACTTAAAAAATACACAAATAACAAAGTCGCACCATGAGAACGCACCTTAAGGCATACACCTGTAAGCAAGCTATGATTTACAACGGTATGCTAGTTACGGTTACGATTACATCAACAACATTTACACATCTATTGTAATATAATACTATCTATAACACTGAAATATCACAGTTCTGTCGGAAAGCATATTATAGTTCATTCTGAATAAATATCACCGTCATGTCAGAATTTATCACACTATCAATAGAGATAATATCACCATATCTCAGGAAGAAGACAGCATCATATGAAGAAGGAACAAACCAGACACTACTTGAAGTACAAAGGAAGGTATCTGTCATAAATGTGCCATCTTCCTGACACAGGGGAGGTAACTGACTATCAGAGTCTGGTTTCCACCTTTGCCTAACCCGGCTAATATTATGGAGATATATTTTGGCTGGACTAATGGCTCTGCCAAAACTGCCAAACAGGGCCGTTGCACGGAGCGATCTTAGCGCTATGGCTACCGTAAGCCTACACTAACGTATGGGCGTTATGATGACCTTAGCGCTACGATCGCTTTGTGCAACGGGGCCCAGGTTTCAACAACTACAGGTACAAACAGTGCATGTGTATTGTTAATTGGGTGTTGACAGATATTTTCCAAATCTTATGATTTTAATCAAGGTTCCTAAGAGATTAGATGCACTTACCACAGTAAGACATGTTTCCAATATTGCAATAAAGGGCTTCATTATAACTGAGATCAGAGGCAGCCATTTTGTTTGAAGCAAATGCATATGAGATGTGAGAGGTGGAATCTGATTGGTCAGTAGGAAGGTCAAGGAAAGGATATAACTCATAAAAGCCACTGGAGGTGGCATCATGCCTAAAAATTTCAGACTAATTCGGCAAGGGTGGAAACTTGACTTATATAGTCAGATAACTCCCTTGAATGGGGAAGATGGGCTGTATGTATAATTCTCTGACTGAACATGCCCAGGTTACTGAGCATGCAACACTTACCTGTCAGGACAGGGAAAACAATTTGTGACATATCTAGCTGAGTGATTGTCATGCTTGGGCATTGTCAAACTAGAATAATTATTGTTTGTTAATGATTATTAACATTCTTACTGTTTGAGTCAGGTGATCAGTAAACAAAGCTAACAAATAAACAACCTGCCACACCAGGTATAAAGGCTGTATACCATATGCCCAAGTACCATTGAATGCCTCACTATACCACTGAATAGAGCAAAAATGCCAAAATGTCCTAAAATCCCACTCAGTATGAATTAAGTGAAAGTCAGGTATTTTTTTTTGTCATCACAGAATACTGTGCAACCCAAACCAAATCACTAGTGGCTTTGATAACAATATCACTTCATAACATATAACATACAATCTGTTTAACTGATGCTGGGATTGATGGTACGAGAGTTATGTCCCCTTGGAATCACCTACCATAGAGTTATCAAACTTCTATGCAAGCCACTTTTCATTTCATTCATTTTTCAAACAACATATAACAAAGTATAGGGCAAATCTATACATACTGAAGAATTTAAGAAAACACACATTTGCTCTAAACTCTTTAACTCAATAATGGACGCCTTTTCGGTCATATAATTTCAAAGAATAATCAATGACCTTTTTTACAAAATTGTAATTTACTAAACAAATTATGCAACATTAAATACCAAAACAACAACAACAGTTTGATTGAAACAACTTAAACAGCCATAACAAGAAACACATAGCTTCATGTTACAAACAAACCTCCATGTCAAAACGTTTTCAATGCATCATGGAAGAATATACAACTCATATTGTGGCTAAACATGATCTTATTTTTTGTTCTCAGTTCCCGATCTTGCTTCCCAGTACTTGCAATCTCTTTTTGTATTCTTGTAATGGAACAAATACAACGGCTGTGCAGAATTCTTTAGCAGAATTTGAACCCATAGACATCTAACACTGCCCTCAAAAAGACATATAATATTTACAGAAAGCACCCTAAATAAGGTACTTTGACAGTATTTTGCAGGAACTTGGGACTATTGGTACTGGAAAAAAAAGCAACAACAAAAAACACTTCCACTAAATACATTAATCTTACAGACTGTTATCAGTATATACAATGCTGTACATATATTGCCAGAAGATCATTTCAAACCTTCACGAAAACTCATATTCCATACTAGAAGAAATACTTCAGATTCCAACCGACAGGACTCCAGCAAACCTCCCCCAAATATTCTTCAAAGCATGGTCCTACTCCAGGGAGGGTACAGACCAAGTTGTTAATAAATGCATCAACATCATTTTACATTGTGTAATCACATAGATTTTTAAAATTTATTTGTCATGACTTTGACCTTTAATCTTTTAAAGAAAGTTTATGGGGGTTATTTGGGAAGAAGTTTATGGAAGAACAATTTCTAATGCCAATAATCTTTCAGTACAAGTTTTTTTTAAAATCACGGCAGTGGTCAAATTTTTACAAAGCTATAAAGCAGTTCTATTTTGTAAAGCTGCTAATTAGTTGAAAACAACAGCACTTGTAACAACAACAACAACAACAACAACTGTCTTGCAGTAACTTAAACAACATGTCAACACTATCACCTATCTAGTTATTAATAATTTCTGTACATCCAGGTTCCCCCCGAATTGATGAAGCTGTTGGTCCACCTGTCCCTACTCCGCTAGTTCATGCAGTTGTATGTCTCGACAGTCATGAGCAAGCTGATTATCACTATCACATTATAAACAATAAGTTAGGTAAAGCATGTATGTTATGACTTATAACGTCATCATTTCATTAAATGAGCATTTCAGGATAAATGTTTTGATATTTACCTGACACATCACCGTGCTTTAGCTTCCCTACCTTAACATAACAGACAGTACTAGAACAAGGAGATAGAAGTACAACAGACTGAAGTCTGTTTCCCAGTACTACTACAACAACTACAAACATGGCTACCATGTCGCAAACATATACAGAATTGGGAGGTCAACACAAATCTAACATTATCAACAAAAATACAGCAAAATGTAGAACATATACCATACAGAAGTAATAGATTAATGTCTGGGAAAGGACATACAGGATGAAAACATCTCAACTCCAAAACTGATTTGGAGACCTTAACTCAGTAGCCTGCTCTTCTAGACAGGAAATATATCATCTTGTAATCTATCCTGCTTTCCAGGGATAAACATAGTAAAGCTGCAAGACTGAAGCTGTAATCAAAAATACTATTAACTGAAACAAATCATAACAAGAGTTATCATTCATGATCTTTCACTGTGCAAAGATAACAAGCATTGAACAGAAGGGCACTCCAGGTACACGTATTAGTTAAAGCAGTTTCTAGAGTATACTGGATAGAAATGTCCCAGCTCAAAGACAGCAATGAACCAGTCATTATGCCCTCAGTGCATCTTCAAAAATGAGTACCCAAGATGTAATGACTGTTTGCTGCTCAGTTCTGCAATATAATGTGGATGCATTTGGCATATGTTTCAATATACCTTAGAGTATTAATAAATATCAGGAACATCAAATACTGCAGAAACAAATATCCAACCTGGTATAAATACTGCCTGTTTACTTCAATACCTGGTGGTGTTAGAAACAATAAAAGATAGAACATGACCAATATGTTATGTGAAAACACCAGGAAAAACAGTCACGCATTGCCATTCTAAGAAGTACCAATACAACATATAGCTGCAGGCGGCTTGATGGGCTTCCCTTGTTGTAGAATGTTGTCAGTCTCCACATGTTAGACCTAAGTGTCTGGATATATGATGGTGAGTAATGATGAGCCGAGGAGTTTTATTGCATCAATGACGAGGTTCATGCATCCGATCTGCCAGCCCAACCAGGTATCCCTTGACTTCTGACTCGTAGTCTGAGCTCTGGGGCTTCTCGGCCAGGACCCAGGTGTCATCGGTACTTTCCACTTTACACCGACACAGCGGGCAGGTGTTGTGTGCCACGTTCCTGTTGAACACAAAACAAAATATGAATACACAGGGGGTACACAAAGTAGGTGGTTCATTGATGTAGCCTAGTGCTTAAAGCATTTGCTTGTCATGCCGAAGACCCGGGTTCACTTCCCAACATGGGTACAATGAGTGAGGCCCATTTCTGGTGTCCCCCACTGTGATATTGCTAAAAGCCTCATAAAACCAAACTCAGTCACTCACACACTCACTCACAAAGTAGGTGATCTAGATTACCAGTAGTCTGACTTCCATTTTTGTGGAAGCTGCGGTGGCTGAATGGGTTAGATCGCTGACTTTGTGTGCTGGTGATTAGTTGCCTGAGTCTGAGAGTTTGGGTTCTGATCCCATAGGGGACTCACCCCATAAAGTTCTAGAATCTGTACTTTACTGAGAAAGTGTAATCCCAAATATAACATATGTTACATAAAACAACATGTGTTGAATTTTGAGGAATGTATCATGCATGTGCATGTATGTGCACACATGTTGGAACATGCTTGTGTGTATCTCTTTTTGTGTGTTTTTTGTACATTATGTGACCACAACTGTCACAACTAACCTAAATTATATTCATGTTTTGAAAAAATAAACAGCAAGTAATGATGCCCTCAATAAAGACTTCAAATTTGTCATCACTCAAAATTTCAGATTCATCCAATTTTAAATATAGCTTCGTAACATGTAAACTTCCAGTGATTCATTTTAGGTTGATTTCATTGGAGAGAACAAATCCAGACATTTTTTGAACAACCACAAAATGGAATTTGGTGACGTGGCCATTTATCAATAAATTGCTTGGTCTTATTAAGAAATAGGACCTCAGATCTATGGCCGTTTCAATTCCTGCACATATGACACAAACATTTCCATATTATGCTGGGTGGTGGGGTAGCCTAGTGGTTAAAGCAGTGGTAATCACATCAAAGATGCTTGGTTCTTTTCCCCACATGGGTATAATGAGTGAAGCCCATTCCTCGTGTCCTCCGCTGTGATAATGCCGGAATATTACAAAAAGTGAAGTACTGACTGACTGACTGAGTTTGGTTTTACGCCGCTTTTAGCAATATTCCAGCAATATCACGCGGCGGGGACACCAGAAACGGGCTTCACTCATTGTACCCATGTGGGAATTCGAACCCAGGTCTTCAGCATGACGAGCCAACACTTTATCCACTAGGCTACCCCACCGCCCCAAAAGTGAAGTAAAACTAAACTCAGTCCATATTATGCCCAAAAGCAGCAAGCTTACCAGGAGTCGATGCAAGTCTCACAGAACTCATGGTTGCAGGAGAGGATAATCTCAGACTTCCGGTCCATACATATACAACACTCGTTCTCATCTGCCACGCCTAGGTTCGACGACGCCACCCTGGAATAAACATGGGTGTTAATAACGGTTAGTGCTGGTATTGGCATTCAACGTGCGATATGATACATCATGATACTAAAATTTAGTCATGAAGATACATTCCAGCAACATCACAGCAGGGGACACCAGAAAGCTTCACATTGTACCCATGTGGGCATTGAACCGGGTCTGTGATACAATACCATTCATCCCACCGCCCTAGTCATGAAGATACATTGCCAAAGTATTGTGCACTGAAGCTGTTATACAATACTCATCCCGATATAAGGGTTGTGATACGATACGTATCACGATACTAAAACCTTTAATTCTAACATCAACTATAAAACACCTTAAGACCGAAACAAAAACAATGTGTAAATGAAAGAAACTTTAACCTGAAAAAAGTCACATTAAGCACTTTTTTAAAAACAAGTACAAAATAAATATAACATAATACTGTTATAAACAGAAAACATAGATAAATAAATCTAAAACATCTGCATGTTGCTGGATGCTGTCACTGCAGTCACATAATAGATTGAAATTTGTGCTGCTTTTTAAAATGGTATATCTTGACAGATATAGCGATTCGGCAATATTCAAAGTTAGACATTGATGTATCGTGGCCCATTTGAAGTATCGTATTGGGATATACGACAATGTAAAACTTTGTATCAATTCAAATCAATCTTTGTATCGGCGGCCCATGGATCGATGCATTGATGCGTGACGATGAATCGTCACACCACCAATAACCATCACAGACAGTACAAATAACACCTACTGCAAATTGGCTACATGTATGTGTGCTAGAGGGTCATGGTGTACACAAACCCATCAATTAGTGACAATGCAAAGTGAGAATCAAGAACAACATTAAGTTGTGATGGTGGACACAGAGCCACAGACCTACATTAAAACAATCACCCCCCAACTTACTCATCAAATATCTTTGAAGCTGTGATGTCGATAGGAGTTGATCCAAGGAGTGGTTTTACGGCCGACAGGTTGTCGACTTGCTCCGCAATCTCACGGTACATGACGATAAACTGTCGCAGTGACAACAATCGCGATGACTCAAACTTGTTGGTATGGGTGTTTACCTGAAAATATTTGTTATAGTGATCACCAACTGAAGTACATCAAAGAACACCTGTTATTTTCAGGGCAGGACGTGTTCTGCTGTTTGTCTTCCTTTGGCATCTTTGAGGTCTAGTTTTAAGGATTAATTGGTATCAATAATTAAAGATCATAACTTGAAACTAGTCCCAGGATATATTTACCAATTTTGATTTGACATGAGACATGCACAAAAAACATTTTCTATTTACTGATAAACATAATACTCATACTATCAACCACTGGTTTGCCTGGACATGACCTCGTTGTTTACCAACTGCTGTGATATAGCTATTGTTGGCAAGAGTTTACAGGAAAATTATTGCTCTGATCATCATGGTTTAATGTACATGATTGAGTGAGTTTAGTTTCACGGCGCTTTTAGCAATATTTCAGCAATATCACAGTGGTACACACCAGAAAGCGGCTTCACGCATTGGAGCCATGTGGGGAATCAAACCCGGGTCTTTGGCGTGACGAGCTAATGCCTTAACCACTAGACTCCCCCACTGGCCCTAATGTACATGAAACATAAACACAGCAGAGAGGCTCCTGCAATCAATCCATGGTCAGTCTAGCTCAATGGAAAGATTTTTCTGTTCAGACTTCAAATACAAGGATTGCGTTTTTCCAAGATGGCAAGAAACCGATGAAAAAAATGAATTCTTTAACAGTTTTATCTGTTATTTTACTGTAGAAATATAACCTTCAGGATGTAACTGACCTTCATGCACCTGACCCTGACCGTGGCCTTCCACAGGACAGTGGAGTCCGAGCCCTTCTTCACAAGAAACTGCAGCTGTTTCCCACGGTGGTCAGTGAAGGTCTTGGTGCTGTTGGGAACAAGTGCTGCTATAAAACAACTTGCATAAACACACTAAGACTGGAAGCTGTCATTGTTTTCAACATAACTTTACAAAGTGCACGAAATCTAACAAAATAACATATCGTTTTTTCTTCTTATCCCAATATTCTGAATGTACACAGGCCTTGGAAACAGAATCTCTATTGTCAATGACAGGATTTAGTCTCTTACCTGTATGAATGCATGATAACATTTTATGGATAACAACTTCTTTCTTTATTATTTATACGATGTTTCAGAGCAAATTTTTGCTCCTTCAACAGGTAAATGATGATGAAGGAGCTCTGAAACGTATAAAAAATAAAAAAAGAAGTTGTTATCTATAAAAATGTGTCCTGTATTCATGTTCATCCAACTTCAAAATGCCTTTCAAGAACATCTCATAGCAGCATGTCCCCAAAAACATCAAGATTTTATCACAGCTGTTTATAACAAATGGTGAATAATACACACAAAAAAGTTGATTATATAACAAAAAATACAATCAGTTATCTACCAGTATCATTTTGCAATTGTATTTCCTTGATAGAGTGAGGAAATGGGGCAGCCTAGTGGTTAAAGGGTTCAGATCTTTATGTATTGCAAACAGGAGCAGGTCAAAAATAATTTGACGCTATTCAATATTTTTTTCCTTTTTCTACCACTATGTTGGCTGGTCAGTGTCTTTACTACCAACATTTGACAGGGACATCAGATGTCAAGCATCGACTGTCCTAGAGACTGAACTGATCTCAAACCATGTATTTTAATGAACTTCCTGATTTAGGTTGAACTTGAAATTCAAAGCAGAAATGAAAGAAGTGCAGCCTCACATTTGATTGAGCTCCAGCACTGACTGGCAGAACTCCTCGTAGGTCAGGTGAGCTACCCTCTTCAGCACGTCCAGGTGAGCCTGCAGTGCCCCCACAGGCACCACGGGGGAGTCTGCTTGACTTGAGGTTTGACCCATCACATGGCACAACAGGCACAGCTACTGAAATACAGGCAAGTGTAACCCTTCTACAGTTTTTACCCAGATGAATCTTTCAATAACATTCAAAGAAATTAGTTGAGACTGTACTCTTTTATTAACCAATGCAGACCTTGGGTAGTAGACCGCCTCCGTGGTGTAGTGGTTAGAGCGTCCACCCGGAGAGCGGAAGGTCGTGGGTTCATACCAAACGACCTTACAATATGGCACTTGTTGGTCCCTGCCTGGCGCTCGGCATTAATGGGTACAACAAGGACTGGTCGGCTCGGAGTCAGTATAATGTGTCTGAGTGGGGTATTCATGCTTCACTGCGGCATGGTATCTCAGTGGGCTAACACTATAAAACCAGCTTCAGTCTGGGCTAGTACAAGCAGCTGCACATACACATACACACGCATGCACGTCGTCATATGAGCGAAATATTCTCAAGTACGACGTTAAACCCAATTTCACCTCACCTTGGCTAGTACAAAGTCAATGAAAACTAATAACAGACGTATCCAGTGTACTCAGTTTTACCTAAAGTCATGGGCGATGCATAATATAGAAATGATCCCCAAAAAAGTATGAAAACTTGCTTAGAAGTTAATTTCTGCAATCAATTCTGATGATCTACAGGTGACATTGCTGTCACCAAGTAAGTTTTCAGTTCAGTACACTAGATGTCTGTTATTGAATGGACATTGTCTCTTACAAAATGGTCAAATGTAACATATGTTATACTTGTGATTACATTTTCTCAGTAAAATATAGTTTCTAGTGGAAGCTGAGTTAGATTGCTGACTTTGTGCTGGTGATTAGGTGCCTTACTTTGAAACTGTGGGTTTGAAACCCCAAAAGGACTTAACCCCCAAAACATTGTAGAATCTGTACTTTACTTAGAAAGTGTAATCCCAAATATAACACCTGTTATTTAAGTCTGTAATTTTTCACCAAGCAGTCCAAGGTTGTCCCAGACAGTTATTTATTGGACTGGAGTCTTGAAATTAGTAATTGCGGGTCCTCTGGACCTCTCAGTTTAGTTTGTTAAGTAACACTGATCAATAATTGTATCAATTCTGTATTAACGAATCAATATGATCAGAAAATCTTAAGTTCATGATATATACAGTGTGGGACATATATTCCTTTAATAGATCATCTGCTGTTATTTGTTTGCAGTTTTGATCATTATTTTATGAGAATAAGGTATAGATAAACACATTAATATGCTATTGCGCCCGTTTCTCGTGTTTTCAGTGGCCCGGAACGACTTTACTTGATCAAACATTCTGTCAGAAAACAAAATAACTGACTTCCTGACAAGCAGCAAAAATCAGGGCCATATGTAATCAAAAATTCCTACTGGCGGCTAATTATTAATCGGCGTTTTGGATAAAAAATACTCTCTTTCTTTGCATTGCCTGTGAGACATCAACATGTGATTTATCAGCTGTTGATGGTTATTTACATCAGAGAAATTGAAGTGTGGTTGATTTTAATCACATTGTGGTTGATTTTAATCACATACTACATACCCTCTGAATATCACCAAAATCCTTTTCTATATGAAAATCTCATGAACTGAATCATATGATGGACTCTACCATCACAAAAACATTTCCTTAAAAACAACAACAAACATTGAGAGTTATCTTCCCTTGAAATAGTATGTTCCTACTGACTAACTTTTCCTCAATGACTTTTCTACATCGCCTCTAACGAACGGCATTTTAACTGTATTGAGCCCTGTCGAATATCAAATACATATAACACTCATCAAATATCAGTTATAAATATTAGCCTTGTTTAACAATCTGTCCCCGATAAAGAGATAACCCGGTACAATCCAATGCGTAAACTAATAGGTCTACATTATGATAAGCAGTCATCCTGATGCCGAATAAACGTTTACAAAACCAGCTCCATTACGTAACGTATGTTCAGTCGAATTAGCAGGCAGCAATCCACAGCCATGTGATAAAATCCAAATAGGCACTCAGCAGTAACCAGAACTGTTTACGGTAATTCACGTTTGGTTTCATCTCAATATTAACATCCTTCTCCATCACTGTCGACAACTCTAGAGCAAGCCACACATATGAATGGGCTTAGCCCAAACTAGTGGATATCTCAGACAGGTGGGAATTACAACACGTTATAGGAGCCTTGGTTTAGGTCATTAAGTTACATCTTTTTGTTTTTTAATAAAACATCCACAAAACGACCTGCATATATTCACCGTAATGCAGTATATGCCATCAGCTTATTATATTTTCACGCATAACTGACTGACTGAGTATGGTTTTACGCCGCTTTTAGCAATATTCCAGCAATATCAAGGCGGGGAAAACCAGAATTTGGCTTCACACATTCAAGCATAAATGTCTTGTACAACTTATTAGTAAACCAACGTGGTATATTATTGACAGGTCATCATTAGGACGATGAGGCACTTACAACCGTGTACACAAAAAATATTGTAAACAAACATACATGTATTTAAGTACTTTTGACTGAGTGAGTGAATTTAGTTTTACGCCGCTTTTAGCAATATTCCAGCAATATCACGGCGGGTGACAGAAGAAATGGGCTTCACCAGTGTATGAAATAAGTCAAAAGTCCAGCCAGACATCAGGGCCGGTAACTTCAGAATGTTACCAGCCCAAAATGGATTTGTCCAGAACAAATATGGTGAATTTACTCAGATGTATAGAACATGAAAAATTTTACCAGACCATCGGGCTGGCTAGCTGTAAATTTAGACCGTCTCGGGCGGTCGGACGGGCCTTATTTCATACACTGGCTTCACACGTTGTACCCATGTGGGGAATAGAAGTAAATGAATATAATAATAAAAGCAGAGGTTGGAAAATAGAACGTCTTCCAATTTTGATACATATTAAACATATCTCACAACAAAGTTTAAAGACTCTTCCACTTGTTGGAAGCGGCGGATTTAACTATCTTCTTGTTTCTGTTTCAAAGTTTAAAGAGACACACTTTAAAGAAGCTGAAATAGAACGTCAGTCACTTGGAAGCATAAAACAAGGTTAGTTTTTGAAAGAAGACTTAAAAGGTTTCTATGTTCGTAATATTTTCAGATGTTAAAAAGTGGTATAGAAGATATTGAACAGATGACAGGGATACGAGCGCAATAATACCATGTTACGGTGCACCTTTAAACGTTAGTTCAGGTGTAGAGTGAGTATATGCTGACAATGCTAATTATTCTATATGTGACAAAATGTTATCAATAATTTTATCTTGTTGATGAGCGGGGCCATTTCGTCTAAGTCCACTGATAATCAGTGACGTCATAGAGATATGGGGGGAAATACGACTTCCGAAGACAGGACGTCGTTTTAGCGCAAAATATAACCGAGATAACATTATAGTGATTATAGTTTTTCTTATAGGAATACGCTTAAAGTTATAAACAGTGCGATTTTAAACAAAATGTAGATTTGATAGTAGTTTGTGATCGTTGTTTGTTGTGTAGCCCAAAATCCCAATATTTGTGATCATATCTCGTGTCTTCCTATGTCTGGTACACATGTTACCCAAATGAAGTTAAGGAACACGCGATTTTGTAAATCTGACATGTCACGATGAATTAACGAGAGTTAAATTAAATGTGTGTGTTTCTTAGCTTCTTTGGAATGTATGTTTGTGGAGTCGGTATTAGGGTTTTCGTGCAGCTGATGGTCGGTGGGGTAGCCTAGTGGTTAAAGCGTCCGCTCGTCACGCTGAAGACACGGGTTCGATTCCCCACATGGGTACACTGTGTGAAGCCATTTCTGGTATCCCCTGCCGTGATATTGCTGGAATATTGCTAAAAGCGACGAAAAACCGTACTCATTCACTCACTCACTCTTGCAGCTGAATATTTGTTAAAATGTCACAAATGAGCCTTTGTGTGTACATATGTGGTTATACATAAAGTGTCAGTTAACTTGTATTTGTCCGAACCAATGATAGTACTATATCCCACTTCCGAACAATATAAGCTGCCCTGTTTTTAATAGACACTGCCACAATACAAGCCGGTATCTGTAACTAATCAGTGTTTTGAAATACTTCGAAAGGCAACCTTTCATGGCTCCTCTTTGAACCCCGACAAGATGTCAATATTTTACGTTCGCTTCACGTTGCAAGACGTACGCGTTTCAGAAATGATAAGTTGTAGACAATCAGTATGAACAGGTGCCCTGCCCTCTTCATCACGGTTATTGAGGCTTACGTCACTGGTATGAGTGTACACATCGCAGCAAGGAACTAAACCAAGTCGGGCAAGGTGGAATACACACTGCCGTCTATAAGTTGCTCTTGGACATATATATTGAAGGTAAGAGAACTGATTTCTGTATCATGTCATTCTTTGGGAGATGCCAGGGATTTGGTTTTATTGACGATTTTAGAAGCGAAACAAAGTTGGCACACCTGTAAATGAGCCAGTGACTCGACTGTCGACTGGGCGAGGGATGTTGTCATAAATTTCAGGTATTCCACTTTGTGAGAAGTCTCACTCGCGTGTGTCAGGATACGTCAAGACTCGACTAAGCGTCACGGTATGCAGATGGACATGAATGATTGTCAGGTCGTTTCACTCTTATGATGGCACTTTTTCTTATTTAGGTCTCGGGTGTATGATCAGTTAAATAGATTTTACACCTAGCTGTTAATCATTTTACGACTTCAAGAAGTACTTGTAATGTCACTGACGACAACGCCTTGGGTGATGATTTATGTGAAGTTATCTGCCCATCTCTGAAACCTCTTGAGAGCTACGTTGATGAAACGATGAAGAATACGATGTCATCAGAAGAAAATTTATTTTTTATTTTATACCTCTATCAAGTATGCAATCCACCTACTTTGCACTAAAAATGCAGTTTTGTCAATCTTTGTAATTTGTTAGGATGAGATATATGTACCTGAAGCTTCTGTCTTCAGTATTTCCTAACAGAAATACAGCTAATTATTAATAAGTCAATCATGATTTGCCACTTACGAAGAAAGACTGTCCAGTGGATTGCCACTTTCCTAGATCTAGGCATGGGAGTTGCATGTGTGAAACTAATTATGTTTGTGTAATTAGTGGAATCATAATGACAGAATGATACACAGCTACTGTTCCCTTGTCATGCTGAAAGCTGGGTTTATTTCCTGACATGCAAACAATGTTTGAACCTGTTTCCTTGCTTCCTCCACCATATTGGTGCTATAATATAAAGCACACAAGTCAAGGATGCTTGTCATGGCCTTTGTGTTGAAGGTAAAGATTTAGGAGTTCCCATGATTCAAAGGATAAGAACTCAAGGTACCAAGGATATGCCTTAATCATCAACAAATCAGTTGTCAAAATAATTAATGTATGCTTTTGAGGATCAGTACACCCTTTACCAAACACCATCAATAATTTATATAACCATGCTCAAAAGTCACAGTCTTACAGAGGCCCAGATAAGCTGCGTATACCGGGTAAAATACGCATAGAAAATTTCCAATTACGCATTGAAAAATAATTGTTGTGTACCAATTATGCATTTAAAACGTTAGATACACAAAAAGTTAAAACAAATGCGTACGGATTATATTATAGGTATGATATAAGGCAGGACATACCTGCTTAGTAAACTTACTCAATGACATAATACTTAGGTGAGTAAAATGACTGAAATACGCACATATTTGAAAGCAGTGGGTAACAGAAAATGAAATACCCACTCAACATTCACAATACCCACTCCAAAGAATTACAGTGGGTACAGTACCCACATGAGCTAAATCTTATCTGGAGGTCTGGTCTTAAGTCAGCTTCACATTTCAAATAAATCTCCAAAAATAGAATTTAGAAAAATCCCAGGTCGTGTTACTTTTGTGCAGCTCATTAGGGTGAGTTAGTATTGTTGTAAGTCACTTTTAATAGTATTCCGGCAGTATCCTTGCAAAGAATACCAGAAATTGGCTCCACACATTGTTCCCATGTTGGGCATTGAACCTGTCTTTAAGGCACTTGGTTAACCCTCCACACCTAACTGGTAAAAGGACAGATGAATAAGATGGAAACTAAGTAGCTAAAAGCTAAATGATGATCTTTGTAATAATTATTGCATTGAATTATTCACTGTGAAGATTCTTCTGAATTTAAAAAAATATGAATTTGTAGCCAAATTGTTTTATTTTGCACAAAATAAAATTGCAAGAAATGAAAATGATGAATATTTTTTCCCCCAAGTTGCCTTCCAAGGGCAGGACTGTGTTTGGAAGACGAGATAACTCCTTGCAGGACTATCCATCTTGTGCTGGGTCGTTTACAGCTGATGACAACCAGTGTTTTCTCAGTACTCCATGTTGAGTTTGAAGTTGTTCACACCTCTCTAAGCCCCTGGTTCCCCCAAATCAGTCCACTTTGACACTGTGAGGATAACTGCTTCCCTTTGTCCACTGTCAAAGCAAGAGTTGACTTAGCCTTGTGTAAGGTCAGAGGTCAGAGTTTTTTGGGACCCTCGTAACTGGGAGTCCTGGCTCTCTGCAGCAATGCTGAAGGTCGGCTCTGAACATCACTGGTACATGATGAGAGACCTACCTCCTTGTGTAAATTAAGGGACGCCAAGTCGAACATGCTGATCATGCAAAGGCAAGAAAATAGAGAAAAACTGAAAACGATGTTTGTTACCGTGTGTTGCTGTTCGTAAATAAGACATTTCTGTGGATGTTAAGAGTTAAATAATGCAAGAAGAATGACATTCTTTTATGGAAGTTAATAATTATAGCTTGGGAATTCAAACAGCAAGTCTCCAACATGAAAGTTTATTGGTTTTTTTTTAATTGCGTTGTAATTTTGGATAACTTTGTTTCACTGTTAGTATAAAGAGATGTCATTGTCTAGTGGGATTAAAGGGGTATATGCTCTTGCAATTTTGAGTGAGTGAGGTATGTTACAACTGGAACTTATAATACACTTTTTCATAAAACTAAAAATATGTTAGTTAACAACAGTATAGTAATCAGTAATGTATTGGTATTAATAACTATACTATTCACACTTTGCTGAGGATCAAATCATGGATTCAACAGAAAACTATGATGTGGGGTCAAAGTTGGTTTAAACATCTAAGCTTGTTGTAAGCATGGATCCTAGGTTTCAGTATGTCATTTCATCTTGTGGAACCCATACCTGCTATTGACAGGTGTTGTGTACTAGTAAATGCCCTCGTTCCATGATTTGCAAAATGGTTGATTGGTGCCATGAAAACCATTTTTATGGTTACTCATGTATCAAGTGCATAAGGTTAGATTAAAGTGACTGTTTGCCTGAAGAGGGGTTACCATATTATTATTTGTCCAGTTTTAAATGGATACAATTTCAAATTATGAATCTACATTTAAGTAAAGTTGTGGATTTTTGTGATCCTTAGCAAAGTGTGAGTAGTGTAGTTTGCATTTGGTATGAGTACACAGACATGAAGTTATAACTATGGTAATAGTAGTTGAAAATATATAGAACCATTGTATTCGTCAACTATCTGGAAGACAAATACACACTTTCTAAACTGGAACAGTTGCCTATTTTTATAGTAATGATAGACTTAACAAACAAAAAAAGCAATACCCAAAATAAGGATACATTTACCATAAACATGATAAATCTAGTTGTTTCCATATTGGAGTCTCTGAAATTCAGTGTGGAAGTCAATGATTTCTGTCATGATAATTGTTTAAAGCTGCAGATATTTGGGGCCTCAGATTAAATGATATCAATGTAAACTTCAATACCAAACACTGTTGAAATTTGATGTTTGTACCCTGAGATGTTTTCAAGAGATATTTCTAAGGTGCATTCTATCGTACATATTCATTAGGGTGTAAAAAGTAAGTAAATATGATGATGACCTTCAGTATGTATTGTCAGCTTGTCATGCTGTGAAGAACTGTGAGAGGCGGGAAATACACAGAGATGCTGTTAGCATGCTATGTCACGTCTCCAGCACATTGCTGTGTCCTCTGACTGATGAACGCTGCTAATTGCACACTAATCTATTACTGTAACGATGTGGAACGGCCACGCCTCACTGATCCCCGCAGGGAGTATACGAGGATCAGTCAGGATAATTGCTTGATCAGCAATCTGACCAGCCATAACATGTTTTAATTGGATTGATATGTGTAGAGACATATATAAAGTAATCCTTTCAAATAATGTTACAGCGTATGTTTTATTTAGATCTCATTAGCTTGAGCCTGACACTAGAGTCCATGGATTAGGGCCACTTTGATGATTTAATAGAAATATGACAGATTGACTTTTGCTGTTTTTTTGTGAAGCAGTCTTTTCAGATTTTTTTCCTTTGAATAGATCTTGACTGTTTCATGTGCATCCCTTGTGGCATGCTTGTTCTGTGGCAGACAGGCAGAATTAGTGTATTTAAGTGTCATAAATAAATACACAATGCCTTTCAGGAAGAAGTCAAATGTAACACATGTTATATTTGGGATTATGCTGTCTTAGTAAAGTACAGATTCTAGTACTTTTGGGGTTGAGTCCCCTATGGGATTCGAACCCAAACTTCTCAGAGTGAGGCAACTAATCACCAACACACAAAGTCAGCTATCTAACCCACTCAGCCACTGCAGCTTCCACAAAATGGAAGTCGGACAGCTGGTGGTCTAGATCACATACTTTATATATAAAGAGAACACAATGTGACTTCTCCAAACAACTCACTGGTGCTTGCTAAACAGTTCATCAACAGCATTCAGAGACCCAGGTACCCATAGGACTACTGGACCCCTGCCTAGTCACGTGATATATTGTTTAATGTCAGCTACATGTTAAATTGCTAATGCTCATTTCTGACTATATTCCTTCTGACTTCTATATGTTTGAGTGAAAACATGGCTTCAGTCTGCAGGCTTAACTGCAGTGTGTGCATTAGCTAGTCTTATAGTCTCAGAACCAGATTATATTATCTTCCACAGAACACAAACTATAATGAAAAATATAATAATAATAAGAAGAAGAATATTCATAACGTGACTTTCCAGGCTTCATTTTCTGCTCAAAGCGCACAATTTGATGATTATCAACCCGGATAACCCAAGCTGCCTGTGAGGTGCTAGAAGGTTAATGGTCACACGTCTTATCCCACCGGGTACCCATTTTCTGCTGGGTGAACAGAGGCAATTTTGAACAAACTCACTTGCCTAAGGTGAGACCACATTATCACATGTGCTTCGTTGTTTGGCAGGACTGAAGTCAAAAGCTCTGAAGCAAGTCTAGATTTACTCAGCATCTGAGTCTCCCTTTAATTGAAATCAAATTATATTGTACAATCGTATTTT